TTAACATTCCTTCTGTTCCTTAAGGACAGGAAACCTCTCCCTTCCCCCCGCCACCCCCGTTTTAGGACCAGCGCCTGCCTCCCCTCTGCCCCGCATGCACGGCATCTCGTATCTGCACTTAGATCTCAGCTTGAACATCAGCTCCCCAGAGAGGTCCTCCCTTGGTAACCTGGTGCAGGGTGGCCTCATCCCTCAAGGCTAGTTTCCTTCCTTACTGCTCATCTGCACCCTCTGCTGGAACTTCCGCTAAGGGAGAACAGCCCTGAATCCCCTGAGCTTGGAACAATTCCTGGCACGTGGCAGGCGCTCCATAAATATTTGTCCAACAAACAAGGCTGCAACTTCTTTGTTGAATGCTATAATAATATTGCTTTCCTTTCAAGGTAATCTGGGCTTCTTTCATCTTGAAGATATTTGCAGCAAGAAAGACAGCTCACTTATTATGCAAGCACATTTCCCTTTAATGTTACGTGACACTGGTATTGCTTTTGTTCTTTCAAATTTGCTTCACTCCATCTGATACATAATTTAATCTACTTTCTCACTGTGCTTGTTGATTCAACTTGAGTTGAAGACTTTTCATGCACTGGGGAGTCTATTTATAGGTCTACTTCACATTTTGTCTGTTAACTTCATTTCTGTGCCCTCAAAACAAATATGTGGGCACTTAATCACGCATTTCCCTTCCCAGGCAGCGTGGGTGTGGGCTGAGCTAAGGCTCACACCATCCAAACGTAAATTAAGGCATCTTTTGATAAGAAAATCTGACATACCATGCAAAACTATTTCTAGAATTATTATTATCATTCAGAATTATTCTAGAGCCATAGCTATTGTTTTGTGGAACATACAAATCCTTCCAGAGCTGTGAAAAAGAAAGAACATGATTGAAGGTTTTTTTTTTTTTCTTTTTTGAAGGGTTTGATTGGGTGTAGTAAGTGTATACTCTTAGTTTGCTTTGTTTAAAAAGAGAAAGGTCCACAAACAATGAATCATAGAACACTACATCAAAAACTAATGATGTAATGTATGGGGATTAACCTAACAATAAAAAAATTTAAAGGAAAAAAAAAAAAGAGAAAGGTCATCAGAGAGGCCTTCAGTGTATTCAGCAAGGAAAGCAAAAACTGAAGAACTGAGAAAAGCAGTTTTACACCCCGAGAGGCTGTAGGTACAGGGGTTAGGGCATTCAGAGAGAAACGCAGCCAGTCTTCTTTCTCATGAATTCTTTACACTTGAACCTAGGAATCAAATGTGACCTCTGCTTTACTGTGTGTTCACATAGTTGACGAGGGAGACCAGCGAATCATAGGGGAGCTCCCTTCCATAGGCATGGAACAAAGAATATGTATATAGGCACTTCTCAGGTTCCAGGGATCAGAGAAGGACCAGGAGAGTCAGGAGCCGGAGAGGAAAACATTTTCAGTAGCTTTCTGCTTCACTCCTGTTAATGTGCCTTCTCAGGTTCCAGGGATCAGAGAATGACCAGGAGAGTCAGGAGCCGGAGAGGAAAACATTCTCAGTAGCTTTCCGATTCACTCCTGTTAATGCGCCACTCCGACAATTCTTCAGCTTTTGGAGACTCAAACCCCCTGATGCACCCACTCCTCCCTGAGTGCCTCCCCCTCCTTGGCCCACTGAACTAGCAGTGGGGGGGGGGTCAGCCTCCACCATCCTTCCTTCACCTGCTCCCCATTCTCTCCCTCCGCCACTCCTGGTTCCCTGGCCAAACACCCATCCACGTGGCTATGGGAGGGTGGGAGCCCGACTTCCGGAAGGGACGATGAGCAAATGCAAATGACCTCACCACACTGCCCCACCTCCCCCAGGAAGACCCCCACTACATTCTTCTCCACTAGCTCAGCCTCACACTTAAAAATCCTGCCACCTTTTGTTCCAGCAGAATCGAGCTTGATCTCTGTCCCCTATCACAAGTCTTGAATGAGTTCTTCCTTGCCTGTTTAATTTAGACTCGGGATGGCTAACATCCAGTGGGGCGAGGACACCCGGCCATCACGCTGTTCTAGTTTGAACACACCTTCGTTTTCTCCTGCCTTCTCCTCTGCCCCCGAACCTCTCATACCTCTGCCCCCTCCTCATTCTCAGCTGATGGCCTTGCTTTCTGGATCACTGAGGAAACAGGATACCAGAGCAGGTTTCCTCCAGCTCCCATCACCCCCCGATCACCCCACCGACCCGCATGTGCACCCTGATACCCCTCCTTCCCAGGCTCTATAGGCACCAAAGACCCTATCCTTTCGAGCTCACTCAAGACTCCGCCTGGGCTCCACAGGTTCAGAGAATAAGAATGAACAGTGACCTTTCCACATGTAGGCACACAACTACTGTGTTTCAAATACACTCATACACTACTACAACAGCACCCAACTCCTAAGCCCTGATGTAAATTGGCTCCTCTAAAGCTTCAGAGTTCCCGGTAACTCACGCAATCCTGGTTTACACCGACTGTAATCAGAGAAATACAATGCCTCCCATTCTTGGAAGTCAAACTCACATTCTATTTGCCACAGGGAGGTTTCCCTCCCTCTGTAGCTCAGTTGATTTGCACAATTCTAACTGTGGATAAATGACAGATGTGCCGAGCTGCTTTTTACTGGAAGCCAAGTAGAGAGCTCATCCCGGAGCTTAAAAATATTTACAAGGTTTCTGCAGTGTATGACTCCTCATCACACTGCTATGCTGGGCTATGTCCCATCTCAAAAAATTCAAGGACAAACAAACAATTACCTCTTCAAGGACATCGGCAAGCTTACTGAGGATCTCTTCAGGAAGGCTCTGGAATGTTGGGACACTGAAAAACAAAACAGATGATGCTGAAGCAACTTTCTTTCACAAACAAGGCAGCAACATGCAAATGTATAAAGATCAAAGCAGGAACTTGAGCATGGTTTGATGGCCAACAGGGCAAAGGCGTGTTGTACTAGAAAGAACTTGGAGGCTGAACCGAACTGAGTTCAAATCCCACTTATAATTAACTGTGGGACTGCAAATGCCTCAGCTATAATGGGGAGAAAAAACACTTTCTCCCTTATCAGTCTGTCATCAGATTCCCTCCTGTTCCATCTGCCTCTCTGGGTCCCTCTAAACACACACACGCACGCACACGCACTCACACACATGTGCACAAAGTCCTACAGGCCAACTCCTGCTCATTATTTAGGCCACAGCTCAATCAACGATACACTCAGACCTTCAAACATTCATCCAACAACCTTGGAAGCTACCTCTCTCCCCAACCCCCTCCAGCTAGGTCAGGTTCTCCCGGCATGAACTCCTTTATCCCTTGCTAGAACAGTCATTAGATACTTAATCAGATATTTTTCCCTGGGTGTTCTCCCTGCTAGAATTTAAACTCCACAAAAATAAGAACTATTTATCGGTCTTGTTTGACCCCTGTGTTTTCCATCATTAACAAATAACTCAATGGAGGATGTTGAATAAAGTTATGAAAGTGTAGATGTGTGAATGCTTGCTGGGACAATGAGAAGGATCAGATCAGACAGGGTGGAGAAAAGAGCCAGAGTCTAGTTCTTCTCTCTTCCTCTTGTTTTCCCCCACTGACCAGCAAATGAAAATACGGAGTGATGCTAAATGCACAAACCCATGAGTTCTTTTAGATGTGAAATAGTAATGAACTTAAAAGAAATAAAAACACTTATCAGCATGTAATTTTTGAAGCTCTCCTGGAAAATCTATCTGGGATATAGAACTAAATTCCCATTTAATCCTATCTCACTGCTTGAATAGAGAGAGGACGCTAAATGAGCGCATATACATTGGCATATCTGATATTTGACTTACCAAATAATTCCAGCTTGCTTAGAATGATACAATGAAAGAAGCCATAGCATACTGTATGGATATAAGCACGGAAGTTTGACTGTTAATTTGTCACTCTGATTCCTATTACTTACTGTAAAGCCTATTGATAAAATCCCAGGGTTTTATGCAGAGGTAGAACAACTGACCCGGGACCATCTGCTCCACCAGATTTACTGCTGTGGTCTTAGTCACATGGGTTTTAATTTCCAGAAGGCAGTGTATTTCAGCAGCTGGATGGAACTTATCACAGAAAATGAGGAAGACAGAGGAACCTGTTGTCACAAGTAATGCAGGTTGAAAAATCTAGCCCTTCCTTGTTCTTCTAATGAGCTCTATCTCAGTGTCTCCTAAGATCTAAGAATAATTAGAATGCTTCCACCCCAGCGGGTATTTGTAAAAAACACAAACCACGACTGAGTTTTTCTCCGTTCATTTTAATTGGCCCCGGTCTTTAGAGAGGCCTATTACTTCTAGGCTCCACCATTTATTTCAACGAGGGCTACGTCTATGCCAAGTCATACCATAAATACTTCCATGTTCCTGAGAGATCTTTCTTATCCATGAGAAAAAAAAATTAATATTTGCTTGACTATGTAATATACTCAATGGAAACAGAAACATTAAGTTTTAGGAGGGCACTTTAAATCATCTTTTACAATTTTACTTCCCCCCCCCCAGTTTTGAGGTATAATTGACAAAATTAGAAGATATTGAAAGTGTACAACGTGATGATCTGATATACATTGTAAAGGGCTCCTCCCATCTACTTAATTAACACCGCTAGCATCTCACATATAGTTTTTTTTTTTTTTTTTTTGGTTGAAAACATTCCAGTTGTCCTCCTTTAGCACATTTCACAGTGCTACCGGTCACCGTCACCATATTACACATGAAATATAGACCTTATTCATCCTAAACCATAGCTGAAAGTTTGTATTCTTTTACTAGCTTCTTCCTGTTTCCTCCACCCTCCAGCCCGCCTCCCGCCCCCCGCCCCACTTTTCTGCTAGATGTTTTTTTTTTTAAGATTTTATTTATTTATTCATGAGAGACAGAGAGACAGAGAGAGAGAGAGAAGCAGAGGGAGAAGCAGAGGGAGAAGCAGGCTCCCCGCCGAGCAGGGAGCCCAACGCGGGACTCGATCCCAGGACCCTGGGATCATGACCTGAGCCAAAGGCAGACACTTAACCGACTGAGCCACCCAGGCGCCCCTCTGCTAGTTGTTTCTATGAGCTTGACTTTTATTTCGGTTCCACAATTATAGGGTACAATGTATTTGTCTTTCTCAGTCTGGCTTGTTTGACTTCCCATAATGCCTTCAAGTTCCATCTGTGTTGCAAATACAAACTGCAGGACAAACTGCGGGATTTCCTTCCTTCTCATGCCTGAATAATATTCCATTGTATACTTATGATCTTCTCCAACTTAAATGTCTCACAGCCTTTGGCAGCATTTGTTACCAACAAAAAGTAAGGGTGATTTTTAAGAAGAAACATTTATCAGTAAGAACTGGAGAACTTCTAGATTTAAAAAAAAATGGAAAGCAATTAAAAAATAAAGTCTCACTTGAATAAATTGCTCTGAAAACACTTGTAGCCATCTTTAAAATCTTAAGATATTTATTACTGCCAACACTACATAAGGTTTCTCATATAATTTGCTTTCTAAGAATTATTGGTCACCAGTAGCTTGAACACCAAGAACAATTTAGAATACTCATTATTTGGAATTCTACCCATGAAATACATTGGTTAAATTTCCCCAAAATACATCAAAAGACATTTCACTAATTTGGACATATAATTCAAGATGAAGTTGTTTATAAATTTAGAAAACTTAAAGCAAAATAATTATCAGGACAAACTGCCAGAACACGTCTCAATGGTAAAGGAGAATATTTTATGTAAAAAATTATTATAATAACTTGCATACTAATTACAAGTAATTCTTACATATCTATGAAAACATTTTGCTCCCTAAGGACTTTCAATAGGCCGGAAGTTACAAAATGCATTTGAATGTAATGTAATAGAGATGATTTAATATGTGTAGAGCTTTGCCATTGGCTTTTTTTTAAGATTTATTTATTTGAGAGAGAGAGAGAGAGAGAGAGAGAGGGAGGGAGGGAAGGAACAGAAGGGGCAGAGGGAGAATCTCAAGTAGACTCCCCACTGAGCACAGAGCCTGACACGGGGCTCCATCTCATGACCCCGAGATCATGACCTGAGCCGAAACTAAGAGTCGGATGCTTAATGGACCACTGGCTTTTCTAACTGAATGAAGTAAGGACTTGGAATTTGCAATGGCAAAAATAGAAGGTGAGATATGGGTGCTTTCTATTTGCCAGGCACTGGGCTATGGATTTTAGAGAGAACATAAAGGTTAGTTTTACATCCACCTTCTCAAATAACCACTGTCAGTGTCACCCATTTCACAGATTTGACAAGTGCAACCTTGAGAGTTTGCCTGAGGTCACAGCTCTCAACATAGGTGAAGAAAGGATGAAAATGATTGTCATTTTCCCACCGAACTGCATGGTTTACAGTAAAAGTATTATCAAATGCCTCATGCAACTTTCAAACCAGTTCCACATTCTATTAGGTAATGATTTGGATATGACTAATATTTAAGAATATGTGATTTATTAACCACCTTTTTACTATGAAAAAAGTTGAACAAATTGGAAGGCTGAAAGAATAGTTCAAGAATCACCTGGAACCCTATCTAGATTTGCAGCTGTAAGTTACCATTGCTCCATCTTTGTTTTCTCCGCCTTCAGTTCGTCTACTTTTCTATGTGTGTAGTGATAAACAGGCTTATAGATATTCTGATGAAATATTTCAAAGTTGCAGATACCACCTCACCCCTAATCTTCAGCATACGTCTCCTAAAATAAGAACATGTTCCTAACTAACTATAATACCATTATTGCACAGAAGAAAATCAACTTCAATTCTGTATATCATCTAGTATCTGCTTCGTATTCAAATATTACTTATTGTTCAAAAATGTCTTTCCTGGTTCGTTTTCTCTTCTCAAACCAGGACCCAGCAAGATTCTACACATTGCTTTTGGCTGTTATATTCCCCTCGCCTCCTGTTCTCCAAGATCCTCCCACTTTTCCCCTACGGCACTGACATTTTGAAGACATTGGGGCCACTGTCTCACTGGATGTCCCACATTCTGAATTTGTCTTGGTGATTTTATTTCTGCGAATCTACTATTCGAAAGCTACAACTAAAAGAGGGGAGAGGAAATCCAAGTACAAAGAATTGTATTTCAGCCATGTGTCAACGAAATTGGAAAACACATTGGAACACACGGAGAATAACATAATGGTGTATAGCAGCAGTTCTTGAAAGGTGATCTGGTCCTAGACCTTCTCAGGGGGTTCCTCAAAGTCAAAGCAAATAGTCTAAGTTGTAATTGGCCATTTTCACCTTCTTTTTCACATGTGTACCGTAGAATCCCCCAGAGACTATGACATATGGTGATGATATCATTTTGATATATATGCTTGGATTTTATATATATATAAAACATATATATACACACACACACACATATATAAATGGATTTATGCCATATATAAAAATGGATTTGTTTTATATATATATACATATATATATATATATATGGATATATGCCTGTATGCTCTTGTGTTTCCTAGAATTTTTTAAGGTAGTATGTAGGTTGAGGATATGTGTGCTGTTTGCAGAAATTAACTCAGTATAATTTCAGTAATTCTGTGCTCTTACTAGACATTTTTCACACATGTAACCTCTTTATCATCCAATATCATTGTTTTGAACTCCTGAATAACTACGGTTATTCAGACTTGATACACATTCCTATGTCAAAGTGAAAAAAAAAAAAAAACCAGAAGAAAATACATTTGGATATCCTGTGTTGCAATAGGAGTTTTATATTTTTTTCTTCAAAAACATTTCTAACTTTTTAAAATGTTAT